ATGATTAATTGACTGACATTTATGTTGTATTTAAAATAAAATAAATTTAAAAACTTATAAGCAAACAAAAACAGTCGTATTTTACATTCCGAAAAACTTTATAATTATACTGAAGAGAAAAATGATGTACACAAAAATTGTTCAAGCAGCAAAATGCTCCTGACACTTAAAGTACTTTGTATTTGAGATTTTTTATGTCAGTATTGTTTTTGTTACAGTAATTTGTAAAGTGGAAGATTTCTGAAGAGTGATCTTGTATCACATAACAATAAACTATCTTGGAATACACCATGAAAGCAATGTTTTCGGCAAATGGTGTGAGATTTGAATGCTCTGAGGTTTGAAAATAAGTTTTGTCCACTAAGTTGACTGAAATTAGTACCAACAATTAAAACACATACATGTAATATGTTCAAGCAGAAATCAGTCTCATAACAATCTACTGATTGATTAATTCTTCCCTTGTTTAGTTTTAAACTTCAGGCAGCTCTCAAAAGGTAAAAAAAAATACAGACAGTTTTTTACAGTTAATTTAGGTTTCATATGCTTGCAATCTATTCTCCGATCAATTTTAACCTGTCTTTTCACACGACTAAGCCATTTTGCTAATATTGGATGATTGTGGTGAAGAATTCTGACACTCTTTTCATTATGTTTTCTTGTTGATACAGTTTTGGCACCTTTCTCCTAATTTATTTTATAGTTGTAAGAAGGAGAGGGGATGGTGTTGTATTGATATCCAGCTAAAAAAAGAAAAATATTGGTTTATGATAATTAAAGTGGTTGTGATCAGTCCTTCAGAAAGAAACAAGTCTCTCCCAAGTCAGAACCACACATGGAAGCTTGGAATTTTGTGACCTACCCTTGAAGTACCCTTGCTATTTTTATATGTTAAATATTTGGCTAAACTACACTCTGTTAAATATTTGTAGAATTTCATCTGTGTGTAAGAGGCCTTGCATTGTTATCTAGTTATCTCTGTCAGTTTTCTGTCATACTTGACCTTTTTAACAATATTACTGACCAGTTAATGAATCATTTCCTAGCCAAAATAATTCAAAAG